TCTACATCTCGGACGACGGGGGCTACACGTGGGCGCGGATGCTCGAGGGGCCGCACTACTACGCGATCCTGGACTCCGGCGGCCTCATCGTGGCCATCGAGCACACCAGCCAGCCCGTCAACGTCATCGAGTAGGTGCAAGCTCGCCCCGCGCCGGCTCCGCGCCCGGCTTGCTGGCTCCGTTCCCCACACGAACCCTTTTCTGGCAGGTTCTCCACGGACGAAGGGCAGTGCTGGTATAAATACACTTTCTCCAAGGATCCCATCTTCTTCACCGGCTTGGCCTCCGAGCCCGGAGCCAGGTCCATGAACGTCAGCATCTGGGGCTTTCGGGGCAACTTCCTATCCCGCAAGTGGGTCTCCTACACCATCGACTTCAGCGAGCTGCTCAGCAGGAGCTGTGAGTGCCTCCCGCGGCGGCGCGGGGCCGGGGGCGCCGGGGGCCGCGGCTGAGCCCTCTCCGTCGCAGGCGAGGACAAGGACTACACCATCTGGCTGGCTCACTCCAGCGACCCCAGCGATCCCAGCGACGGCTGCATCCTGGGCTACAAGGAGCAGTACCGGCGCCTCCGCAAGTCCTCGGTGTGCCAGAACGGCCGGGACTACATGGTGACCAAGCAGCCGTCCGTCTGTCCCTGCACCCTCGAGGACTTTCTCTGGTACCTCTTGACTCTGCATCTCCTGCCAGTGACAGCCCCCTTGGTGCGGCCGGGGCTTCCCTCGGCCTCTGGGGCTCCGAGCGGCCTCTGAGCTCCCCCTCTGCCCTTCTGCCCGCAGCGATTTCGGCTACTACCGCCCGGAGAACCAGTCTGTGTGCGTGGAGCAGCCGGAGCTGAAGGGGCACGACCTGGAGTTCTGCCTGTACGGCAGACAGGAGCTGCTCAAGACGAGCGGGTAAAGCGTTTTCACACCCCGTTCCCCTCCTGGGGCTGATGCTACCAGGAGGCAAACCTGGCTCGGCAGCGCTGGAGCTAGGAATGTTGGAGTCAAATCCCTGCGGAGATCTTCAAGCCTCATCTCTGCTCCAGGTACCGGAAGATCCCAGGAGACAAATGTTCAGGAGGGGAAAGTCCAAGCCGGGAAGAGACCGACATGAAGAAGAAATGCACCAGCAACCTCCTGAGCCCCAGCCAGCTGGTGGGTGACAGCGGGATGGGAGCGGTGACAGCAGTGACCCGGGGGACGTCCTCTGCCCATGGCCCAGTGGTCACTGCTGAACTGCAGGACCGTCCTGCCTAAATCTGCCCACACAAATGACCTGCCCCCGGGCTCGGGGCTGCAAGCTGGGGGCTGGACAGGCACCTTTGGCTGGGGAGGGCATTTAAACCTCGCGGCCATCGAACCCCTCCGCGCTTCCCCATCTCTCCCACAGGCAGCAGCGTCCTCCAGTTCCACTCCCATCATCCTGGCCGTGCTGGGCCTGCTGCTCGTCACCGCCGTGGCCGGCGTGCTGCTTGTCAAGAAATACGTGTGCGGAGGCAGGTGAGGCTCCGTGCGCCGGCCCCGCAGGGCCCGGACACCCACCGGACACCCACCCGCCTGCGCTGCGGTTGCTGCAGCTCCTTGGCTCAGCCTCTGCTGCCCTTTGCAGTAATTAAGGCAGCTGCTAATTGCTCTGGTGCCTGGGGCTTTGCTGCTGAGCTCCCGTCAGGAGCTGGGCTGGGGACTGCTCTCCTTGCTGGACCTGGCGAGCGGGGTGGCCCCGGGCTGGTGCCCTTGAGCCTCCTCCATGGGGGGGAAAAAGA